TTTCTGAAGAAGGGTCCAGACCCGAAATGTCAGCTTTCCTGCTTCTCTGATGCTGCTTGGCCTGCTGTGTTCATCCAGCTGTACACCTTGTTATCTCTATCTTGGGTTCAGATCAAAGTTTCTTTGATCTAGCCTGAGGCAAGAATGTGATCTCCCTGCTACAGGAAGGATGTTGCGAAATTGAAAGGGCTCAGAAAAGATTTACAAAGTTGTTGCCAGGGTTGGAGGGTTTGAGCTATTGGGAGAGACTGAATAGGCTGGGGCTATTTTCTGCGGAGCATCGAAGGTTGAGGGGTGACCTTATAGAGGTTTATAAAATCATGAGGGGCATGGATAGGGTAAATAGACAAGGTCTTTTCCATGGGGTGGGAGAGTCAAAACTAGACATCATAGGCTTAAGGTGAGATGGGAAAGATTTAAAAGGGACCTAATGGGCAACTTTTTCATGCAGAGGGTGGTGCGTGTATGGAATGAGCTGCCAGAGGAAGTGTTGAAGGCTGGTACAATTACAACATTTAAAAGCATCTGGATGGGAATATGAATAGGAAAGATTTAGAGGGATATGGGCCAAATGCTGGCAAATGGGACTAGATTTATCAAGGATATCTGGTCAGCATGGATGAGTTGGATTGAAAGGTCTGTTTCTGTGCTGTATGACTCTATGACTTCAATTACCTCGGTACCTGGGGCTCAACGAAGAATAGATTTATTCTGCTCGTGATTGAATAGAACTGTCCAGAATTGAAAGAAGAAGAATTAGAACTAACAAATAATGACTCTAAAACTGGAAAAAGTGATGCAGTCCATCTTAAAGTACCAGGTGTTGATGTGAGTTGGAAAAGTTGCTTATATTTTCACAGCGGTGCACTCTCGTAGTTTTTTCCTCACATAGGTCTTAGCATTTCAAAAGGTATTTCATTACATGGGAAATTTGAGAAATCTAAGAAATAAGTTTTTTAAATTAACATTAGACAGGGAGGTTGAAGGTTGCATTCAAGTTTAAATCTATGTAAGGCTTTTAGCAAAGAAGGCATGCATTAATATTGAAATTAGGAGAGGTGAGTGTGGCTTGGTTAAGCATGTAGGTTTTGGGAAAGTGGTGCAGGTGGAAAACTGAGAGAAAGTAAAGTGTTTAGATGGAGAGTAGAGAAGGACAACTGAACGTTCTGACAGTGAGGGATAGACAATATACAATAGATCAGATTTAGAGCAACCGAAAGCTATTTTGGGACCTGGGTAGAGGTGACTATGGAGATGAGGAGATCCTGAATGAGTCTGCCAAATTGTTATGGTCCCAATTATGTGAATAGTGGGCAAGCTGAATCTTTGTATTGATCTGGTTTGATAGACCATATTCATTTAAAGAATTTAATGTGTAGAAGAGCCAAGGGTAAGAAGATAAGCAGCAAGATTGATAAAATAAATGTTTTTGTTTGAACAAACAGAATATAAACAATAATGATTAATAGATGTACTGAACAGGTAAGATATTGATTCTATACCAAGTACGCTATATATAGAAAATTTAGATTTTATCATGAGGTAAATATGAGCTATCAGGCAACTGTGGCCGAACAGCCCATAGAATACACTTAATATAGTCATATACCAGCCGGACATTAATGACACTGTGGCTCCCACATTTTATTAAAATTTTGTCTTCTTTATAAATGATTCTAATTCTTCATTTTTCCAAGGTCTGGCTTTAGATTCCTTGAAACATCTCTCTGACACAGACTACCTCAACATGCACACGCATCTTGGTAGTTCGCTCTCTTCTCCAAATACTGAGTTCTCCATGAGTCCTGAGTCCACTCCCAAGCGTCTAATTACCTTCACAATTTCAGTTTTAGTGAACAGCTAGTCTTTGTGTGAACAGCTTGATGAAATGTTATGATGAGCCTAGCCATTTCTGCTTCTGAACTCTCTCAGCTTCAAGTGGCAAATAATTTCTTCTAGCAAACACACACAGATAAATTGAAACCAGAGAACGTTTCCAAGGATCAACATAGACTGCTATGGACTGTCTTTAACCTAGCATTTAGGGCTTGCTGAATGCTTTTAAATAAATTTAGTTTGAACACCTCAAGGCTACTATAACTGTAAACATTGCTGATGCACTTCTCCAGCTAAGTAAGCCACCTGCTATTTTAATAACACCATATTTTCTATTCTGATTCTATTAAACAAACATGGGTGACCTGTTGAGTAGCCACTTATCTTAGGTATTCTGGAAAACAGAGGGGCCCATTAACCTCTTAAGGCAACATGACCCCAACTTTCTAAATGCACTACATTTCAAGCTGCTTCAATAGCATGTTTACTATTAAACTTTAATGCTTAAAACTAAAAATTATATACTAAAGGATATGGACCATGAATTGGATATTCGCTACAATATGGATGAGAATTTTAAATCAATGTAGTACAGAAAAGTACATGGATCAATCGGATAAAACGACAATAATATGCACTTAATTAACAGCTTTCATGGAGAAAAATATTTCAAAAATTTTCACAGAAGTTCAATCAGCTAAAATTAGATATTGAGGTCACTGAATTATATTAGGAGAATGACCAAAGACTTTGTCTAAGAGATGGGTATTAAGAAATACTGGAAAGGTCAAGATATGTGGTGAAAATGAAGAGCTTCATGTCATCAGCATACGAGTGCAGTAAAACAATTCTGATCCACATGCCATTTATGTGCATCTCCTTGTTAGGAGGACAGGATTGGTGCAGCTAATCCATAGAGAGATTATAAATTGTTCAGACTGCATGTAAACAAATATGCTGGTTAATAAGAATTTAAAATATCCTTACCTGCAACTACTGGTGATTTTCTGTTGTCCAAGAGCTGGACAGTTGTACTAGCTGTCACAACATTGCTTTTATTTTCTGTCTCTATCAAAATGAATATGTGTTTTGTTAGTATCAAAGTAAAATATATACATCATCAATCATCATTGTTATTGTTTCCATGGCAGTAATGTGTGAAAATTAAGAGCACAAAGAGGCCACTTGGTTCATCAAGATTGCTTCATTTAGAAGCTGTGTCTGATTATTTGATTTTAGACTTCCTCCTGACACCACCTGTAGCTCTCCCACATTATTAAACATCCACTCATTCTTTCTGACACAATTCCAGTTATCTAATAGACATCAATCTAACAATAAGGTTTTCATTCTAAGTTTTACAATAGCAGTAACACTAATTTAATTTTTAATTGACTTCAGATGTGTTCTTGATCATTTGTAGAAAAAGGGTTGTAATCAGGTCAGCTTAGTGAAACCCCTAATAATTCAAGTTGAACAAATTCATAATCTGTTGACAGACAATGGATATTTTATAAATTAATTCTAGGTCATAATGAAACAACCAGTTATTGTTTATTTATTTAACCTATTTTCCTAATCAACCTGTTCAGAGGTTTTATTACACACCTCTGGAGTACGTGGAACTTGAACCCAGGTCTCCAGGGTCAGAAGTAGGGATACTATCACTGCACCAGAACAGCCCTTCAGTTATTGCTATCTGTGTTTACAGTTTTCTTAAAACACACATGGAATACAATATTAAAACACATGGAATACAACGTGGCCAGTGGACTGTTCTAATTCCTTAATTGGAAAGTTTTAAAATTGTTAACTTCTTAACTGCATAGCCACTGAGAAAAATTGGATCAGTAATCAATAAATGGATCTGTTTTAATATCAAAGAACAAGAAGTGTGAGGTTTCAAGTAGCCTTGAAGTCTGAAGTCATTCATATTGCTTCAGCCGGGGAGAATGATCAGAAGTTCTATTAAGAAAGTTTACAATGTTTTGTCCATCTGAGAATCAGAGAAATGTACTAAAAAAGCATTTCAGGTAACCTTTTTGTTTTATGACAAGATATATTGTGGGAATCTGATATTGTAGTTTTCATACCTGGAAGTGCCTTACTGCTTCTGCATATTTTTAAAATTCATTCAAGCAGTGTGAGCATTTGTTCATCCCTAATTGCACTTGAGATGGTGGTGGTGCTGAGATACTTGCTTGAACCACTTAGTCCTTGCTGTGTAAGTACTTACAATGACAATAGGAAATTAGTTCTGAAATTTGAGCCCAGCAAAAGCAGTGAAATAATAATACAGTTGCAAATCATGCAGTGGGTGATTTAGAGGGAACTTTCAGGGGATGGTATTTTCATGCATTTGCTGTCCTAGTTTTACTAGGTGGCAGAGGCCTTGGATTTGGAAGATGCTTTTGAAAGAGTTTTGGGGACCTGTTGCAGTGCATTTTGTAGATGGTACACATTGCAGCTATTGCATGTTAAAGGTGGATTGCATGAATGTTTACTATCATGAACGGGATGACATTTAAGTGGATTACTGATCTTGGATGGTTCTTGAATACTTTTGGAGCAGCAATCACCCAGGTAAGTATTATTATATAATTAATTATTTGTTTTTAATTAAATGAATGGTCATAGCAAATGTGCACCACAAGCATTGTCAAAGTTGGAACATCGTGAAAGTGGAAATTTGATGAAGAGAAGAAAGCAGGTATGGTTTTTTGTTTCCAATATTTAGTTTGTTGTTTTTGGGATGTGGGCATCGTTGATAAGCCAGCATTTATAGCCTGCCCTTAATTGCTGTTAAACTGAATGACTTGCTAGACCAACACAGAAATCAATTCATAATACAATTGGAGCTGGAGGAAAACAGTAGGCCAGGCAGCATCAGAGGAGCAGGAAAGTTGATATTTCAGATCAAGGGTTTCGACTCAAAATGTCAACTTTCCTGCTCCGCTGATGCTGCCTGGCCTGCTGTGTTCCTGCAGTTCCGACTGTGTTGTCTCTGACTCCAGCATCTGCAGTTCTTGCTATCTCAGAAATCAATTGATGTTTTATTCATTCAGGAGAAGTAGGCATAACTGCCTGAGCCAGCATTTATCACCTTTCCCTAACTGCCCTTGAGAAGTTGATCGTGTATTGCCTTTTTGAACCACTAAAATCCATTTCATGTACTTGCACCCACAATTACAATAGGGAGAGAATTCCAGGATTTTGACCCAGCACCATTAGAGGAACAGTGATATATTTCGCAGACAGAATGTTGTGCAGTTTCGAGGGGAGCTTTCACATGATGGTGTTCCCTTCTGTTTGCTGCCCTTGTCTTTCAAGTTTGTACTGGCCATGGGTTTGGAAGGTGCCATTTAAAGAGCATCAGTGAATTTCTGCAGTGCATCTTGTAGATAGTACACAGTGCTACTACTGACCATTGGTGGTACACGGAGTGGATGCTTGTGGATGTGATGCCAATCAAATGGGCAGCTTTGTCCTGGATGGTGTCAAGCTTCTTGAATGTTGTTGGAGCTGCACCAATCCAGGCAGATGGGGAGTATTCTCGCAGGACCATCAGAGGATATCAAGCCATCAGACCCTGCCAACCTTATCCAAGGTTGCTACCCAGATCATTGCACTCTCAGGCATCTGGAGGGGTGTCCAGTAGTGAAGGAAGAAGGCAAATGACCTTCTGCATCCACCTCCAGCTTAGGCCATGCAGTACCGCTCTCACTTTTGTCTCTGACACCTTTCCCACTTGCTCTCATCCACCCCTTCTTGACATTAATAATCCTCTGTGCTGCTCACTCACTTTCCCACTCCATCTCCCCACCTGCATCAAAAGTTACAGGTGCATCACAAACTTTCGTCTCCCTTAATACCTGCCTTTCTCTCATTCCAGGAGGATAACAGCCCACAGTAGGGCAGAAAGACTCAAGCCAGGTGATGGACTTCCAGACTTTTGGCTCCACACCCCTGATGTGTAGTGCATTCTGACTCTGGCCACCCTGGGTGGCTGACTGACTGTCTCCAAGCCCCTGGACTGGTATTAGGGACTGTCTTTGACTTACAATGGAAACGTTGTTGGAGGGCTATCTCTCGTGACAACTTCAGACTGCTGACAACAATGACAAGTTCCCTGTATATGTGGCTGCGTTAAATAGTAAGGCAAAACAGAAATACTTTGAGCCTGGTGCCTCTGGCTAAGGGGGCAGAGTGCCAAAAGGCTAGACAAGGTAAGGCAGGGATGCTGTTAACATCCAGGTAAGCTCAGAGTGAGTGAGCTCTAAGAGAACAAGCATGATGACCTGAATGTGTCTCCCTGAGTGCACAGTGTCCTTGCTGCTGCCTGACAATAGCAATTGCCACTGTAGCCTAAGATGCAGCATTGAATTACAGAAACATTCTCTAAGTCAACTGGAGATATGCCATGAAGGTTCTTACAGGTTGGCACATGTCATTTGCCAATGTCTGTGCATGTGTTGTACATGTGGCTAGTGTCCATGGAGTGTGCTCTGAGATGTCGGTGCCAGTTGTCCAACATGAAGATGCTTTGAAACAAGCAGTGAACTGAAGTTACCAGGTACCTGCTCTGACTTAACATGTGAGAATTCTGAAGAAGGTGTCTATGTTTGGTAAGATATGAAGATGAATATTAATGATGCAATTTTTTTCTTCTTATTAATGACATCTGTCATGAAGTTACGTGCCGTGGTAAGGCGACTTATAAAACTTTTTACATTTTTTTTGTAAAAATACACGTGACAATAAATTGCTATGCTATTCTGTTCTATTCTATTCACTGCTGCCTAGCGAGAAACTGATCTCACCACTAGGCAAATGCCTAAAAGATGCAGTTTTACATGGTCTCTGTACAGATAACAGGCCAGGATTAATATCATGTTATTCATGGCACTTGTGAGCATGCAGGCTTCACCTCATTAGAATATCAGATTGTGAAATCTGCCTTTCTGCTGTGAACATAAGTTAAAATTGTCAGGTGAAAAGCCAAACTGTAACAGCTGTCACTGAGATGATTAGAACATGGAGAATATTGGATTTAAATCTCATACTTAATTATTTCTATTGCTGACTGCTGAATGTTTTGTACCTTTTTGGGGGGTGGGGGGGATATAAATGCTCAAATTCATTAACAACATCTGAAGAATAGTAAGTTATATTTTGTATTTTCTAGCTGAACACCTAGCCGATGTCTGTTTCAAACTAGCCTCAAGTAACCAAAGTATGCTTCTAAGTTTTCTTCCATTTTTGAGTTTAGATTTGTGAAATACCACATGTCTAAATCCAGGCATTTCACTTCCAAATTTTTGCACTTGAATGCTTGATTTTCCTTGCCACTACTTAGTTTATAATTCTCCTGGCTTTTGCTTGCAATGCTGTAGTGAAATATTCAAATAAGCAGCGCAGATGATCAAATTCCAGATCTTGAAATTCTATTACTGAGTTATTTCACAAGATCTTTGCAGCAGTCAGCTGAACATTGTGCCTCAGGAATGGTGTCATTATTTGCTTGAAATTGTGGAATTAGAAATAAAATGATAGGTTGGAGCGTTTAAAATGAATATTGGCTTGCGTGAAAATCATGACAGTAGACAAAAGAATTCCAAAGGCTTTGAAGAGAAGTAATGGATCAACAACCATGGAGGCCAACAGAGTCCCAACCCCATTAAAAATGCAGGGAATGTCAGTACTAGAAATAATGGGCAGAATTTACCCACTTTCATTTAAATTATTTTGTTGAGTGATATTTTTAGCACCCAGTCCTCCATGGCTCACTCTGACTTTTCTCAAACAATCTTCTACTTTTATTAATTCATTAATTAATTGAGCATGTGGACTGCAGCTGTTCAAGGAGGCAGCTAACCATTACTTTCTCAAAGACAATTAGGAACAGGCAATAAATGCAGCCGGCGATGCCCCGGTCCCACAAAAGAATAATTAAAAAATGATGGGGCCCTTCAGCGTCCTTCTCGTGGGATTCCCTGGTTGGAGAGGTGGTTGTAGTCTCCACTGCTGGGACTTAGAGTGGCTCTCACATCACTGACATGATATTTAAA